ATATTATTCTCTCGGTGAAGCTTGTTCATGGTTCAATGACATGATTTTAATCCTGTAGGAACCTTCTGTTTGATGTTATAAATTATTAGATTATTTAAAATTTATATCTAAGAGATGACAGTATGTTTGTAAAGTGTCTTTAATGAGTCTTAAACACAATCCTTATATTTAAATATTACTGCAAATGTTTTTAATGCCTAACGTCAGTGTCCTTGTCGAGCTTCAGAGGGATTTTGAGCCCTATAGTCCCTCAGAATAACATTTAAATTAATGTCCTGGGGATACGGAGGTGTAGTGGACCTATCCTGCGGTTTAATCATCATGTTTATGTGTTGTATCTTATCAGATTTTAACTCTCAGTAATGTGACAATCCCACTCTGGTTGTTTCACAGAAAATGATTCTAAATGTTCAATAAATTTCAAAATTAAGAATAGTGACTCTCTGTACTCATATATACCCAGTCTTTTTCACTGTTTGTGAAGCAGCAAGTAAAAAATTAACACATTTTAAATTAAGAGCCTATAGCTTTCCAAAAAGAAGAAGCAGTTAAAGAACACAGATGTTTATAAGAAAATCTTCCAATCTGCTGCCTTCCAACTCAAATAGATAAAACCTTTTAATAAAATATGATTAACAAAGTTTAGTTAATAATAGCTTGAAAAAAAATGTTTGAGTTGTAGTTCTCACTGTGACCAAAAGAGGTCAGTAATGGAACATGAAACTTCTGTTTACATAGGTTCTGTTTGCAGCAAACAAAACAAAGCTATTAAAAGTATTTTACAACTTTTGTGTTGATTCATAAATCATTGATATTCCATTTAGTTGGGAAGTTAGTTAAATAATTACTTTTTTCTTCCTGGAAGGACTATTAAAAATATACAAATATTTCAATAAATGAAGAAATCATGGAAAAACAAAGACAAGGGCTGGATGTGCGATATTGGGGCACCACCCTGTAGCCAGGCCTATGGGAGGGGATAAACTGGGAGTACCGGTTGGCAAGGTTTCTACATACTGGTCCCGGTTGGGTGCAGCCCAAATGAGCTACTGTACATAGGTTTGCCTTCCTGTGGGCCCACCACCTGCAGGAGGGACCATTTTATGTCGGGTGCACGATGCTATGGGCGGAAGCCAAAAGCGGGGACCTTGGCGCTCTGACCCTGGTCTATCAGGGAGGAATGGCCCCTCTGATCTGAACCTGAGCGGTGTTCTGTTGTTAGACTTCTGTGCTAGACACAGTTTGTCCATCACAAACACCATGTTCGAACATTAGGGTGTACATAAATGTGCCAGGGCACCCTATAACTCAATGACTGACTTTAGTAGTGTCATCAGATCTGTGGCAGTATGTTTTGGATGCTCAGGTGAAGAGAGGAGCTGAACTGGTGCTGAGGCAAAAGATCAGAAGTGTGAGAAGTTCCTTGAGGCCTTGAATAAAGACTCTCGATTGACTCAGAGGAGATCCTGGTAAATCACCTGTGGCTGAGGTGGGGAAAGCAGCACTTCACTAATACTGTACAAAGTGAAGGTGGTGCGCTGTTAACCTCAACCAGTGGTGTCATCAGGAGGTGAAAAGAATACTTATTGGACCTTCTCAATCCCACCTGAACATCTTCTATGGAGGAAGCTGAGTCTGACAGGGCTGGTCTGTCCATTGGACTGAGGTTGCTGAGATAATTAAAAAGCTCCACGACAGCAGAGCTCCAGAGATTAATGAGATCCACCCTGATTTCCACAATACTCTGGATGTTGTGGGGCTGTTTAGGTTGACACGACTTTGCAACACCACATGGACATCGATGGCAGTGCCACTGGATTGGCAGACTGGGGTGGTGGTTTCAAAAAGGGGGACCGGAGGGTATGTTCCAATTATAATGAAATCACTCTCCATAGCCTCCCCAGTAAAGTCTTTCAGGGGTACTGGAGAAGAGAGTCCAACCAATGGTTGGACTTCAGACTCAGGAGGAACAATGCAGATTCCATCCTGGCCGTGGAACACTGGACTAACACTTTACCATCACTCCTTGAGGGGGTGATGGGAGTTTGTCCATCCAGTCTACATGTGTTTTGTGGACTTGGAGAAGGCCTTCAAACATGTTCCTCGAGGTACACTGTGGGGTTGCTCCGTGAATATGGGAATGTGGGTCATTTGATACAAGTTATTCAGTCCCTATTAGAGGTGTGAGTTTGGTTTGCATTGCCAGTGTTAAGTCGGACTCGGACCCCTTCAGAGTGGGACTCACAGATTCTGTTCACTGTTTTTATGGATATAATTTCTTTGTGCAGCCAGGGAGCACAGGGAGTCTGGTTTGGTGGCCTCAGGATTCCATCTCTGCTGTTTGCAGATTCTGTTGGCATCATCGTGCCACGATCTTCAGTTCTCACTGGAGCAGTTCACAGCCGAGTGTGAGTCAGCTGAGCTGAGGATCAGTTCCTCCGAATCTGAGGCCATGGTCCTAAATTGAAAAAAAGGGTGGATTTCTCTCTCCAGGTTGGGGGTGAGTTTCTGCCTCAAGTGCAGGAGTTTAAGTATGCTTTAAGTGCAGCCAAAGGCAAAACTAAAGCATAGAGGGGAACATATTTTTCCTGTGGCGGTCCCCAGACTCTGGAACAACTTGCCTCCTGAGATCCATATTTCAAAGTCTGTTCAGTCTTTTAAATCTTGCCTAAAAACTCACTTTTTTACACTGGCTTTTAACTCAAGTTCAGTTTGAGCTACCTCAGGAGTTTGTAATTTGTGTCTTTTTATTTGTTTTTTAGCTTGTTAATTGTAAGGTGTCTGCGAAGCACTTTGGTCAACATTGTTGTTTTTAAATGTGCTATATAAATGAAGTGATGATGACGATGAAGTATCGTGGGGTCACAAAGTTGTGGACAAATAGGCAGCTACAGTGTTTTGGTTAAAACATTTGCAACAATTGAATTTTGTCAAAATATAATTGATAAATACATTATCTGTGGCAGAGGTCACCAAACCTTTTGAGGCTGAGCACTTTTTCAGAATTTCCAAGTAATACAAAAAAAGAAACATATTGTTTTCTTACTGTTTATTATGACCCCCGCATGCGAAGCGTAAGCGGGGGTCATGTTGTTTTCGTATAGTTTTTTTTTCAGTGATTTTTGGTCAAC